GGCCGAGTTTTGTTTGATTTCGGGTGGATGAGGTTGGGGTTTTGTTCGTTTTTCTCCATCAAGGTTCGTGCCTAGAGTTCAGCTGTAGTGTTTCAACCAAAATTTTGTTGACTTAGAGGCAAACATTCATAGCTACTGGGCATCGAGTTAATTTGGCTTGGCATGACAGCCTTTACGATCGACTTTTTTTGTATTTCTGCATTTATCTGCAATTATTGTCGGAGGACAAACAATACAATAATAATAACAGGTATCGCACCGACCGTTCGAGAAAAGAGCCCTCGGAAACCGATCAAAATAAAACAAAACAAAAATAAAGGAGTGTAAAAAGGGTGTTTGCCCGACACGAGATAAGGTGACTGTAAAAAGGGTGTTTGCACGACACGAGATGGTGCCCCAAGCCTTATATACTGACATGTGGTGCCCACAGGAGGACGTTTCCCACACTCGCCCAAAGAAAAAATCAAAGGATAACGTAGAGGTCAGGTCAGGGGTTCGAATCCCGGCGTAAGCGAGCTTTCCTTGCAAAGTGAGTTTTTCTCTCGCTTCCGCTCCTGGCCTAGTGGATAGCGCTAGTTCGTGTGTACACAGAGGGAAGAGAGTGCTGAACTCTTGTCGCATTAAAAATCGAAGGCAAAGTACCGCAGGAGGGACGGTAGAGAGGGGCTCTTCTGTGTGACCACGGCGCCGACCAATGATATGAGTGCATTTACTGCTGTTAACGACTGTGTACCCAGGTGTGTCGCTTTTCGACCAGGGTATATACCCTGTTGTGTTGCTTTCCCTTTTTCTTTTTCCTCCTGCGAGATATTCCGTGAACAGTGACGGCGAACGGTGTCAGTGTTCAGCAGCCGTTCATCCGGGGACTCCCCGGCGGGGAGAGCGAAGTGCGACCCACATTCATTTCGTGGAACCCCTATGCCCCCCAAGGTTGCGCCGCACCTTTGCCTGCCCACTACTCCGGACCAATTCCCCCCAAATGGCTGACTGACAAGGGCTGCAGCTGTGCATCCTGGATTGCCCGGCTGGCTCGCCCACGGCTCGCCCGGTCTCCCCTTTGCCCTTTTCCTTCTCCTACTTCAACGCAGTGAGACCGGAGTCTTCATCATTCGAACGAGCGGGTTCAAGGGCAAGCAGATGACTTCTGAAGGTAAGAGAGCTGCGGCACGAGAGGCATGAGACAAGAATGGGTGTGCGTTCGCACTTGGCACTGCCCTTGAGAACCTCTTCGCACCCAAAGACCCACAGCAGCAGCAGCAGATTCAAAATGTACTGCTTACGATGGGCCTTGTGCAGCAGAGCGAGCTGGAATGTTGCACTTTGGAGGGTTTGGAGGCCAACATCATGCATCCGCCATGCGGAGCCCCAACTTGAACATGGAATCAGTAGCGGCAACATGCGCTGGCTAGACACCAGTAGCCCCCACCGCTGGTTGCTGTGGACGACTCGAACCTCAGGGAAGAGGTCTGCGACGGTGCATACAGCAATTAATCGTGACAGTAGTGAATGGCATGGAACCAGACTTGGCGGGATTTTCAAGGGATGTTCACGATAGACGATAAGATAATGAAATGCATTTGTACTTTGGGGTGTATTAATTATTATTTGGTTTTGGGGAGGGTAATATCAACCGCAGTTTTTTTTTTTTTTTTTTTTTTTTTTCCAAATACAACACAACGTTTTTTTGTGTTTGTTTCTCTCCCATCATTGGACTCTGCCGTCTGCCCCTCTGGCCCCTATCCTCCACTTCTACTGGCTCGACGACCCAACCGGGGTCATATAGGAGGGGGGGGTTGAACCCCCTCCTGCGGTTCATGCTTGAGGTATTTTTATCGCGAGAAGGGTACAGCAATCCCTTCCCTCGCGACTTACGAAGTCGATTATGGTTTAC